ATAACAAGCACCTAACTGGGATTACTAGGACTGTCTGGGAAAGGCTATGGACATGCTGAGAGCAGCTGGGATATACTGGGAGTGTCTGTGATCATACTGGGGATGACTGGGAACACACTGGGAACAATGGGAACCATGCTGGGGACAACTGGGAACAACTGGGAGTGACAGGGTCTACACTGGGGGCAACTCCAGCTGGGCATGACTGGGACCATGCAGGGAGCATCTGGGATCATCTGGGAAGCGACTGAGACTATACTGGGGCCAACTGGGTGCAACTGGAATCACACTGGGAGGAACAGGGAGCAACTGGAACCATCCTGAGGGTAACTGGCATCCTACTGGGATCACAGTGGGAGCAGTTGGGCCATGCTGGGCAATACTGGGACCATACTGGCAGCAACTGGGACTGCACTCAGGGTGACTGGGAGTGGCTGGGAGCAACTGGGATCAGGCTGGAAACACCTGAGGAGTGACTAGGAGCAACTGGGATAGACTGGGAGAGACTGAAACCACAGTGCAGGTAAATGGGAGCAACTGGAACCATGCTGGATAATCCTGAGAGCAGCTGTGCCCATGCTGGGGTCATACTGGGATCCTACTGGAACTAGCTGGGATCATACTGGAAGTGACCACAAAGGTGCTGGCTGGGACTGGAACCATGCTGGAGGTGACTGGGAGCAACTGGGCCCATCTTGGGAATGACAGGGAGTTACTCTGGCCATGACTGGAATCATACTGGGAGGGCCTGGGTGTGACTGGAACCATACTGGGGGTGGCTGGGAGCAACAGCTCATACTGGGGGTGACTGAGATTGTAGTGGGAGTGACTGGGATCATTCTGGAAGTGTTTTTCTGTAGATCTTCTGTCCTTCTGTTTTCTATTTCTTCTCCTTCTAATCCTATGTATCTGGAACATTTTTGGATAGATAACATCTTAAGGTTTAACACTTTTTAGGTTAAATGAGCTAAGTTTGCAAAGTTAAGGCTATGGTAAGAGTTTTATGTTCAGTTGGATGTTGTATTAAACCCTTTGCCAAAATTTCTCGATTGTCTATATTTTGCCAGTAGAATTTTGTGTCATTTTGACTTCTTAGCTCAGTTGGTCAGAGCATGGTGCCAGCATCACCGAGTTTGTGGGTTCAATCCTTGTGTGGGCCATTAACTTAAGAGCTGGACTTGATGGTCCTTGTGGGTCCCTTCCTACCAAGAATATTCTTTGCATCTGTCCATGCTGAGAAGATCTGGTTGTTGTTTCTCCTGTGCACCAAACTCAAGCACAGGAACCTTTGGTTACCACCAGCATTGAAGTGTTCTGGGGTGTTACAGCCCCTCAGGCTAACAGTGACCTCTTGTTTCCATAAGGCCCCAGAGTGTCCCACTGGTCCCTTGGTTCCATGGGCCCAAGAGTGCCACAACGATCCCCTTGGTTCCACAACTTCCCATGGTGTCACACTGGCCCCTTGGTTCCATAAGGATCTGGAGTGTCACACAGGTTTATGGCATTTGTCCTTGCTGCCCCTCACATCCCACTGCCCCACAAAGAGCCCCGAGCCACCCGTGAGGGACAGGCCCTGCTGGGCCAGGCCTGGGCTCAGGGCTTGGCCTTTCTGCTTCCTCCAACCCAGCCAGGGCTGGCTCAGCATTGCAGTTCCCTGCTCAGAGCCTTTGGCTCCCGGCAATCCTGGCCTCCAGGATCTGCTCTCACCAGTCCCTGGGGAGCCTTTGGCAGTCCCTGCCCTCAGCTGGGCTGATTGAAGCTCCAAGGGACTTGGAGTTTTGCTTCTGACTCCTTGAGCAGCTTCTTCAGCCTGAAGGAGGGACAAAGGAGGATCAGGGAAAGAAGGAAGCACGAGGTCAAGCACTCCCTGAATTCACAGCCCCCCCACCTCTGGGATCATCACCCCCCATCCCACAGGTGACCGGGGAGGGGGAGCTCAGCCGAGACATCCTGAGGGGTTAGGTTTTTTGGGGCGGATGTTTGGAGAATGAAGAACTCCAAAGCTGAGTGGGAAATTCCCCTTGAGGGGCTACTGGGGTGTCCCAGCATCCCTAAGTGGGGAGATGGAAACAGGGGGAACTTTTCAGATTCCTGGCACACCCAGCACACTGGGCAGGGGAGGGACTGAGTAGACAGGGGACTCCCAGTACAAGTGTGACCCCCAGCAGCTGAGACAGGGGGGAAACTCTGAACATCAATAGGAAGAGAACAGAGATGGAGAACTCCTGGAAGGCATTTTCAGTGCTGAATTTTGGTGGTCTAAAATTTTTATGGACCACTGTCGTGGTTTTAAACCAGTAACTAAAAACCACTTATTTTTTTTGTTGTGAGATATGGATTAAAACAAGAGCAAAACAGGCTTAAGACTTAAAAGGAATAAAGACAGTTTATTAACAAACTACAAGAATGAGAATACCAGAATAAACTTTCAGAAAACCCCCTTATCTTCTACATCTTAACTATTTCTCTGTACACATGACAACATAGAGACAAATAACTTTAGGACTTTGGTGGTTAAAAACAGTCTTAATTCTTGCTACAGTCTTTCATCAGTCTTTGCAGAGAAACAGAAGTTTCTTTCTGTTAGCTTACGGAGTTTCTCACTAGAAAACTATTTTTCATCATAGTTTTCTATTTCTCTAATGCCAGCTGCCTGGAAATCTGTCATTAGATCTTCTCCTCCCATTTCACATCTCCAAGGTGTGTATGGGTCACAGAGTTTAGGAATCTTATTTTTAAGGATAAGTTATTCAAAGGCAGAAGTCTTCTTCATTTGTCTCTGTGAGCCTTCCTGGAAAACAGTTTTCTCTTTGCCCCCAAAGCTTCAAAATCTTCACTCAACTCAATTCCAGCAACTCACAGTATCACAAGTACTCTCTCTCTCTTCTGCTCAAAAGTTACACTTTGAATATCTCATTCCTCCTAATACTCTTATTATGAATTAAAGGAGTCTTTTTATACTATTATTGTCTATCTCCATAGCTTTAACAGAAAGATATTTCAGCTGTAAAGCATCTCCTTATTCTCTCTTTCTTATTTAAACTTAACTCTTTTCTTCACTGTTTTTGGTGGTTCTATGATGTCTCCTCTATGTTGATTGTCTCTCTCTCTGTCTTTCTGAGAAAAGGAGTAATCTGTATGTTTATCCAGGTAGTAAAAGAATTAAAAGCTTTAGGAAAACTGCAAAAGTTCATGGTGTTAAGTTTCAGTCTAGCAGCAAAAACTGAAAACCAAGCTCGGCTGGCCAGCGCTGCTTCTCTTCTCCCTC